ATTTTTCGTCTCTCTCTTCATACAACTTAAAATTTATTTACCTTTTAGTGCATTTATCAATTGTATGTTATGATTATCACGATATGGATTAAAATCTTTATCGAGTTGTTCCAGATATTCAATAAATATTGATGTTATTTTATCAGGTCGAACTAATGTTTTAACATCATTTTCACTCATGACTAATGCTAATATATTATAAGCAACAAGTTGTATTGATTTACAATTAATATTTATTAATTTTAATATCGTTTCTGTTATATGTTTATCTTTTATAATTGAAATGATGTCCGGATCAGATACACATTCATATATCTTGTATAATATATTATAGATTAATTTTATCAATATACTTCTTTCATCTAATGATTCTAAATCTTTTGGAAAGTAACAAAACCATTCAGCCCAATCCATTTTTTTATACTCATCTGGTTCTTCTTCACTTTTATATTGTACTTGAAAATCAATAGGTATCATATGAAATAGTAAAATAAAATCATCGATTACATTTAAAAATCCTTTCGTTGTATATAATCGTTTAAAAATTTCATTAATATACATTAATGATCTTATAATTGATTTATTTTCAAATATATTATTTGATCTTGATATTAATTGTTTCAATGTATGTTCATAATATTTTGACATTTTATTAAATAATTCATCCTGAATATCTTCACCGACACTCAAAATCAGACTTACACAAGTTATTAAATAAAATTCATCTTTTTTATTGTATGTAAATGGTTCACTTTCAATTTGTTCAAGTGAAATTTTATAATCAATTGAAGTGATATATGCTAATAATAATTGATCAAGTGGTTTTAATATAATTTCTAGATCATTACGGTATTGCTTCTCTAATGTTAATACACTGATTAGTTTCGACAAATTTGAAAAATATTGATCGTCGTATGTTTTTATTTTTAAACTATGTTCCAAACATGTTTTTATTGTATTTATCAATGACGTACGATTTAATATATTATCCAATCCAGTACCCCAGTATGGATAATAGATTCCTTTGAATAGATCGATTATTTTTGAACAAGTCAATTTATCGTATTCATTTAATGTGAGCCATTTATCAAATAAATTCGTCAATGTTGATATTATTTTCAAAAATAACTTATGTCCAATTAGACATTCGAGTCGAAAGTCCAAATCCAGTTTTGTAATAGCATCAATTACATCATGATCTATTATCGATTTTTCAAGATGATCATCAAAAGTAACAAATCGCGTGTAGTATGTGAATCGCAAATCATCTTCTTTGGTACCATCGCTTAGAGATTGTTTCAGGGAATCGAATATTGGTTTAAGCATATTGCTTCTCTCTTCATCATCAGAAAAATCTGATAAATATATTAATCTATTTATCAACGTAACAAAACAGAATAAAACTGGATCATCCATTGACTTCACTGAAATATTGTCAATATTCATTTTTATTATATTTAATAATGGCAAATCAAATAATAAATTATCATATATTCTCACATGTCGTACATCAAGATCCATCCCACGATAAAGGCCTGCTAATTCTCTAATTATTTTCTCCAAAATATCATGATCGCGTTCATTTAATTGAGTCTTAAACCATTTTTCTAATAAATGAATTAATGTCGATCTTATTTCTATAAATAGTTTATGATCAACTAAATTCATTAATACTACATTTGGTAATTGCTGGATAGCACTTAAAGCTTTGACTATTGTATCATCTTCCTCGTTATCTTTTGATTTTTGTAATTTTTCAAATAAATCATCAAAAATAAGAATATATCTTTCAATATCAACGTTAGTATTTGCCATTTTATTGTTTGTGTAATTGAAAACCTACGTTGAATTTATATGTTATAATAATTATTCAAGCGTAAAAAGTATATATGTTGACTGTCTTTAACATGTTCTGAGAGGCGTATCTTTTCGGAGTTGGTGGAAAACATCGAAATGAAAAAAAAGGGAAAAGGAAAATAAACATTAAAAGATGTCATTAGAAAAATTCAATTTATTTTTGTTCTCATTAGTCATTCTTTCGATCAGGATATTTTATTATCCATCGAATAAAGACAGTGATGGATCCAGGATTTTGAAAAGGGACGGGTGGTCATAGGCAAAAACTACATTTTAGTATTTATTCAAGTTAGAGCGCACCCCCTGGATCCGCCCCTGAATAAAGAAATTCTCCTAACATTAAATAGATATGTCGTCAAAATGGCAACAAACTCAGATTTTGAAAATAGTTCATCTAAAAGTTAACAGTCTAAGATTTCATTCATCTTATCAAACAATGGTAAACTATTAATAATGCATAAGAATTACTTATTTAAGTGCAATAAGTACAGTTGATCCAAAGCGAGCATTTTCGTGTTGAGCATATCTCTATTCAACTTGACGCTGGTGCATCGGCTCCGAAACAATCAACAAAAACATTTCAAATGAGATTTGATACTCTACGCAACAAGTATCTCAAGAATAAAATCAATGTAAATGGACTGTTATCAATTTTACCACTGTTAATTGTAAAGAAAAACAAAAAAGATATTATGATATTGTTAATTTTCTCTGATCTATTTCATTCTAAATTAATAAAGTATAGCATATACCATGCATCAAAAGGAAGAGATTGATCATTTCGACGTTTTCCTCTTCTATATTTTTCTTTTCTACGTTTTCCACCAAGATCTATTTTTTCGTCAGTCGATAGAAAATTTTCTTCTCTATCGAACAGTATATTACTTATCTTTGTTATAATTACAAAAAATCATGCTCATAGAAATCTTGCGTTAGATCATATTATAAGATTCTTCTTGAAAGATCGTCCTGTATTGTAAGATATCACTATAAGATTATACAAAAACTTATGTCACGGGAAAATCTTTCAAAAATCTTACAGTTCGATTTCATCTGATCTCACAAGATTTTACGTCTGATTTTTTTCTTTTACCTGGAATCGCAAGTTAATTGCGCTAGTGTTTCTCTTTTTTTCACCTCATTTTACTTACGAATCTTTGACAAATATAAGTCGTGTACTGTTTGATAGTGAAACAAGTTTCTTAGCAACTTATGGAAAAATATTCCTTTCAGAACGTTTTTATCGAAGAGATATAAGAATCCATATTTTGTGCTTTAATTTATCGGAAAAGTGGGATAAAAATAAGTTATCTATGATTCGAGACCTTACAGCTTTTTAAGGGTTATCTATGTGTTGGCCATTGACCTTATTTTAAAATTAAGCTTTGACTGACGGCTTAACCACTAGTGCTAATATAAAAAAACAAATAACAGACACTACTTAACTCGTTCATATTAAACTTAAGTTTTTCTGGTTAACACTTAATTAATTGCCTTACACAATCACTTGAGCTTAATTTTAAGCGAATTAAGTGTTAAACAGTAAAACTGAAATTAATATTAACAGTTAAGTGATGTCTGTTTGTTTTTCTTTTGATAATACTGATCGTTAACCTGGTAGTCAAAGCTTGATTTTAAACTATGATCAACTGTTCATTCATAGGTAACTCTTAAAAAGTTATGGGTAGCTTGTTAACCTCGGTTTAATCAGTTCCTAAAATTGAACTGACCTTTTCGGACAGTTCTTTAGCTCATTTGATCTGTGTTCATGAGCTGAAGATATTCTAGGTCTATGCACCGCAAATACTGAGATTATATTAATACTCTGAAAATTATCAAAAAAATAAGTTCTGCAGCCGTTTGATACTTTTCTAAGATATTTCAAAGAAAATTCGAACCTTATGAACAATCATAATTTGAGAAGACAAATATTAATAGAATGAGTTGTTTTTTGGATTTTTGTTACCGTCAATAGATGTCTCTTCATGACGTTAACTTATATTCAAATGTATAATTTTTTTTCTTTTCTTTTCTTTTCTTTCCTGTGTGATGTATATATATGTATAATTTTTTTTCTTTTCTGAAACAAAATAGTTGTGATGGTTTAGGAGAGCGACTATATAATAGCAAAATAGCAGCGATTAAGACAGCAACAACAACAACAATAAATCTTATCTCATTTGGTTTGCTGAGAGTCATTTTTTCCCTGAAAATATAACTGTGACATCTCACAAAGCATTATTCTTTTTTCTGAAAGAAAGGGTCTATTTTATCGTTAACCAATAAGATTTTGAACAAAACAAGTTTTGTTCAGTTGCTTTCCCTTCCATGTGAAGCAAATTTTCAAAATGAATCAAAGTATACATACTGTATTTGAAATGAGTT